TCACGTCTGTTCTGTGTGATTATTCCCCATCACGACTCGCCTCTCTGGGCCTCTCTGTAGGATGGGGAGGGGGCGACTGCTCTGGACCACCCTTGGGGTAACTTCCACCCAGAGCTCTTCGAGGTATCCAGCCAGACTCCTGAAAGCCACATGGAGAGCCTTTTGTTTTCATAGATGCTGCACAGTCCGTTAGGAGCTAATTAAATGAGAGGGACAGCCCACCCACCAATATTTGAACAGATGGCTGCAGCAGCTGGGCCCGCACGTGCAGCGGGAGATCCCCACGCCCCGAGCCCGGCCCGCGGGCCGCGGCCCCCAGCTGCCACCAGCACTCCTGACTTGGCTGCTCAAAGTTTCCTCCCAACAGCCTGAAAGCCAGTCGCAGGGCATCCGCAGTGGGCACGCCCTGGACGGCTCTCAGGTTTGCTGTCCAGAGATGACCTCTGGGGGCTTCTCTGTGGGAGAAGGAGGATAGCCCTGCATCCCCGAGGGAGGCCTGCTCTGCTGGCCAGGAAGACACATTGTCCCCATGCTCGGAGTCGCTCTGTCCCCCAAGCCCCACCCCACCCTCCACCCCTGCACTGGGGGCAGGGGGCAGTGCCTGGCCAGCCTTGGGGACCTGCAGCTGGGGAGGGCAGGGATGGAGGCTCCAAAAAGGCTTTCGGGTGTGAGCCTGGCGGGGCCTATGAGAGACACTTGCATAAAGACAGGAAAGGTGCTCCTGGCAGAGGGCGGAGCATGAGGTGGGTGCGCACAGGCCTGAGGGCCCTTAGAGCCCGGGCTTGACCCCAGGCTGTGGGGGTGGGAGGGGCTGCAGGGGCTTGTGCCAGGCAGGCTTTGCAGCCCCTAAGGCTCATTCTGGCACCAGGACATGGAGACTGCAGACAGGCCCCAGTCTTGGACACCAGGCAGGCCCCTCTCCTGTGACTGCCCTGCCCCTCAGGCTCACAGTTCTGCAGCTCCAAGTCAGGGAGGTATCGACCTGAGGGTTGGTGGGGTGAATGGGAAATGGCCTTATCTGGTGCAGCTAGTGAGGGACGCCGGCCCCCGGGGGCTGAGAACTGGCCATTCCCCCACCCCAACAGGCACTATGGTGTGAATGATCTCCCGGGCTCTGCGTGGTCTCCAGAGCCCCCACCCCTAGAGGCAGTCTCCCAGAGTCAGAGGCCTGTGGGATGGCACCCGGCCTGGGCAGTCTTTGCGGTGGTTTCACAGAGGCCAACAGGTGGGTCTCAGCTCTCCCTATCAACTTAGCAGCAGACAGCAGGGCACACCTGTTTCCTTTTTCCCCATCACTGCCAGGCAGCTCGCGGCACATTTTGTGCTCAGCCACCAGAGCGGAGGCCCTTCAACAGGGCCTTCCAGGCCAGCGCGTCCACTCCACCCTGCATGGTGATCCCTTATCTTGACATAATGACCCCATTGTGCCCGAGGCTTTCACTGGGAACAAATTCTTTTGGCAGGAAAGAAACACATTTTGTCCCCAGGGATTTCCTTTGGCCCAGGGTTGGCAGTTGACTGCTCCCTGGGCAGAGTTCACAGACACTGTGCCCCGCCACCTGGAGGTCACAGACCATCTCATATGCGTGTCCCCACCCAGCCAGGAGAGGGTGTGCACCATTTACAGATGGTGGGACGTGGGGCTGGGGTCACGTGGGGAGTGGACCCAGGGCGCCTGCTGGGGTCCCCTTCAGGCTGATGGGGTGCTTCTACCGCCCACACCCTTCACCCTCCTCGGCCCCAACTCAGCTACATGTGACGCTTTCAGTAGTCCAGCTGGTCAACATGAAGCTGACCTTCCGAGATGGGCAGGGCTGGGGGCATGCTGCGGCCTCCTGGCCCCCCCCCGGCAGACTCAGAGCAGGGACTCCGGGTCCACAAGGTGGGATGCCTCGCCTAGGTCCCCTCTTCTCTACACAGCTCCGATGAGCTGGCCTCCTACTAACTTACACCCCCCGTCCCTGTGAAGCCCACCTGCATCCACATAATGCCCCATGGATGGCCCCTGGCAAGCAGAGAAGGCACCCATCACTGCCCAGGGACAGCCACAGGCTGACACACAGCACAGCCAGGGGCCCCGGAGCCCACAGGGGCCCAGCTGGGCGCAGGGCGCCTTCAGCCGGGCTGCCTGCCGCCTCCCCTCTGCCGGGTTCGGCTCAGCAAAGCGCCACAGCTGCCCAGCCAGACTCAAGATGGGCCTGCAGGCGCCCAGTGTTTTGATCTGAGGCTGCACTGGAATATTTGAGCCCTGCCGACGGATGTGATATAAAAATACAGCCGGCTGCCAGCACAGCCGGGAAGGATGGCTTCCTCGCCAGCAGGTGCCTCGGCAACCAGTTCTCTCCCATCCTCAGCCCCCACCCCCGGAGCCGGGGGCAGGAGCCAAAGACTGGAGCTGCTCTTCTAAAGTGTTAGCAATTCTGCCTGCTCCAAGTGAGTGGTTTTTTTTCTTTTAATTGCATACTGAGCTGTAACGGAATATTTGGATGATTCTTCTCCCCCTTTTCCACAAACTCGGCAGTTGAATTAAGACATAGGAGTTAATTTAAATGAACGTCTGTCTACGCACGTCCCAACGGCTGCACGAGCAGTGGGCTGGAGCTGGGTACAGCACTGAAGCCAACCCCCGTCAGGGCTCTGCCCTCCTTGATCTCGTTGTGGGTGCTTTTTTATTTTGCCTGAAATCTCCCAGGAGCCCAAGGGGCATCCCAGGGCAGGAAGGCGGTTGTGTGCAATGCTTCTCCAGCGCGGGGCCCAGGCTCGCCGAGCTCGGAGGGCACTGGCGCCCGAGGGCTTGGGGCAGGACTCTCCGGAGCTGGCTGTTTTTGGGCTCATGCCCGCCTCTGCCCTCCCGCACACCTGTGGGTCCCGGGCCTCAGTTGCCCCAGCCACAGATGAGCTCGGCACCAGGGCGCAGACAGGAGGATGCTATACGAGAGGAGAGCCCTGCGGGAATGAGCGTGCACAGTGGATGAGGCTGGACGGAGCTTGGGGCCCCTCCTTTGTACACCAGGGAAATCCCCTGCATGGTGGCTCCCGGGCCAGCTGGGAGCAGTCAGTGCTCAAGGGCACCCTCTGTGGGATGTCAGCGCCCCCACTTCATCGATGGAGCCGGAGACTCGGAGCAAGGCAGCCGGCCCGTTTCCCTGCAGCAGGCAGGGTGATAAGCCAGGTTCTGTCTCTGTTGATCCAGCTGAAAAGAAAGTCTCTCCAGGCAGCAATTATGATCGAGTTGAGAACGTCTGTTGGCTGAATGGGATATTAAGTGCCGGGCGCTACGGTCCCAGCCACAGCCCTGGAAGGTGCAGTGCTCGGCATTCGGGAAGGAAAAGGAGGAGGGTTCGTTGACATTCTTCCGTGGGCTGTGTTCCAGGCTACGTGCTCCTGCTGGACACTCCGAGTTCAGTCCCCAAGAGCCCCCAGGGGGGTGGGGGCAGTGTCATTAACCCACTGCACTGAGACAGCAATACCAGTGTTGGTCAGGCTCTCTCCGAGGGAAGGCTAGCATCACGGGCCCCCCATTCGGCTGGCAAGTTGGACCGGAGACTACAAGCCTGGCAGGGCCTGAAGCTTCAGCTCCCGCTCCACTTCACAGGAGGGGTACTGAGGCCCAGAGAGGGCCAAGGTGCATCTGAGTTAGCTCAGCAATCCTGCAACAGAGCCCACAACATGGACACATCTGCCCGGTGGTGGGGGGTCAGGGATGTTCTAGGTGGCCTTGGCTGGCCATTTTCTCAGCCCCTCTCCCCACCAGGCCCCCTGTCTGGGAGAGCTCTTCCCAGTTGGAGTACCCTGAGGACATATGGCTTGAGGTGATGAGGCCAGGCAGCTACAGGCGGCTTCTCCAAGGGGCAGCCCTGGTAAGTCAGAAGAGGAAAGGGACCTGCCCTGGCCCCTGATGCAGGAGACAGGGGCTGGAAAGGCAGGACCCAGGGCTGACTCCTCCCTGAGACAGATCTGTGGCCACCGCAGACCGACGACAGATGAGTAGTGGCCCAGGAGAGAGACAGGCTGGCAGGCAGGGGCCGATGAGGGACAGTGCAGGCACGGGGGTGGGTGGTCACAGCACAGGTCCCCAGCACAAGCCCCTCCAGCCCACTAAGTGTGTGTGTGCGCGCCGCAGGGGCCCTGCTCCCACCCCTCCCCACCAGCCTTCCCAGGAGCTTCTGGGCTCTCTGCTGGGGCTGGAAGAGCGTGGGGGGAGACCCTCTCCCACACGTTACTCTCCCTCCTTCTAGCCACTCCTCCTCAAGCCTCCGTGTGGGGTGAGCAAGGGGGCAAGGCTGCGCTGCACCGGGGGAAACCTAGACTCAGAGGTGGGGGGAGAATTACGAAGGAGGGCAGTCCCCCAGGATCTAAATCTGGCGTCAGTTTGGGGTCTCCTGATTTCTTTCGCCTCTTGGCCAGTTACAGCACAAAAAGTTTGACTGCATATTTTGTATGTGAAACAGTTTTCAACAAAGACCCCATCCAAGAGGGGTTGAGTCTGGCAGCCCGGGGTGCCCTCCTCCCACACTCAGGGGAGGTCAGGTAGGGCGAGGAGCGGGCAGGTACCCCACCGGCGCTGACGGGCAGGCGACAGAGCCCGACACGTAGGTTACAAAGGTTTATTTAGAAAAGTTTGGTTGTGTTGGCTGTCAGCCGTTTTTGGCAAACATTTAAATACCTTCCGTAATCAAAGGTTGTCAGTGCCCTTTTTCTTCTCCCTGGGAAGCTGCCCCACTGGTCCCCAGAAGTCAGCCCTTGCTCAGCGGTGGATGGGGTGGTGGCACATGTTGGGGGAGTGGGCAGGCTCCGTTCTCACACACCTGGGAGGATGCACACCACTGCGGTCCACGGCCCTGACCTCACAGCCACACCCTGGCAGGACCCCGGCGTGGGACCCAGGCCTGGAGCCTCAGAAGCAGCCCCTTGCTGAGGCGAGAAGGCAGAGGGGTCTCCCCTTTCTCCTTCCCCCTCCCCAGGGACCGTGTGTTTCTCAGCCCTCGCTCCAGTCCTGCCGCACCCTCCCCTGCTCCCTGGAGGCCAATCCGTCCCTGGGTCTCTGGGAAAGCTGCTCCCACTTTCTCCTCGGGCGCCACACCTGCCCGCCCCCTCCGCCCGGAGCTGTCCAGGGTCTCGGCGCCAGGCAGGGTGCGCGGGTCACTGCCTGAAGCCCCTTCGCCTCCGTCGGAAGAGGATGTGTTTGAAAGAGCGCCGGAAGTCCTGATTGAAGACAGTGTAGATGACCGGGTTGAGCGAGCTGTTGCAGTAACCGATCCAGAAGAAGAACTTGAAGAGCGGGACGGGCACCTGGCAGGCCTCGCGGCAGATGCCGTACAGGCTGTAGCTGAAGAAGAAGGGGAACCAGCAGAGCACGAACACGCCCATGACCACCGCCAGCACGAAGGTGAAGCGCTTCTCGCGCGCCTGGGCCACCTTGCGGCGGCACACGCTGCTGCGCGCCCGGCGCCGCCGCGACAGGAAGAACTCGACGGAGCGCG